AAAAAAAACGAAAACAACAGAAAAAAATAACTACACACATATAATATATTATAATATAATATAATGTAATAATAATAATAATAATAATAATAATAATAATAATAAATAATGATAATAAAATACAGAAATATGGTTTGTTTTCTATGGCGCTGAATGCAGTGCACCAAATCATCCACTAAGTGGCGCCACAAGGACACAGCTTGCTACAGCCATGTTTCTAGTGATGATTTTTTTTCTACTTAAAGGTCTTAAATTAAACAGTTTAGTTGGCAGTGTGACTGATGATTTTATTAAACAGCAAAAATGAACCCAGTTGCTGCTGTTATTTTTATTTTTTTACATTGAGCATTCTAAAACTTTCTATTATTTCAGCTCATCGACACTTAAAAAGCAGTTTTTTTTAGGATCTTTTGTCCTAAAACTGATTGGCTTGACTTGTTATTTGTCTAGATAAAATAAAAGGATATTTTTTTCCTGAATTAAATCAGAAAGTTGACGCAATAATAAAACACCTGGAGTTGACGACAGAACTCCAAATTCTGCATATAATAAATGTGAGTTTAAGTTTCAACCATTAATAAGGTCAAGTTTTTCTCCTGGGAGGGAGACCTCATTATGGTCTGTCACCTGCATTGACACCCAACGTTTAAAATGAAATCACCTTTTAGGATAAAAAGCCTCATTACTCAAAGGTAATAAATTTGCCCTGCTGTCGTCGGAGAAAAAAAACAGACGTTAGTCAGCGAGGATCAAATCACAGCAGGGCCTTTGATGAGGGCTTCACTTCCCTGTCTGTGTTAAATCTGGAGCATCACGTTACTCTGTGTGTGCGCGGGCATGTGTGTGTGTCAGCCCAGATTGTCTGATTTGGATGTGCGTTTGTAGAGTCTGGATGTTTCGGGTTGATCAGATAGAGGCACCTCTATCAGGCAGATCTAAGTTTGGCGGCTGGTCCTGAGCCAGTGGAAGTCTCAGAGCGCAGCAACCTGCAGAAAAGACCCCCCAAAGCTCAGTAGACGCTCGCATAGATGTGCGCTTTCATGGCAAAAGGATAATGAAAGGTTTCAGATGTTAAACATAAACTCAACTCTAATATCTCCGTACGCTTCCTGCTACTTTTACTCCAATGGATGAGATGTGAGATGATCATCAAGGCACAGCTAGAAGAAGAAGAAGACATTTGCTGTGTGAGGCGTGTAAAAAAAATATGTATTCCTTTCACACATGTCCATCTGATCCCATCTGGTCTGAAGTTTGTGAGCTTCATATTTTATGGTTTGGCTCAACCTCATTAGAAATGCATGTGATTGACAGTGAATAGCAAACAGCAGCAGGCAGCTGTGCTTCTCGGGACTCTGCAGGCCCAGATCTAAGTCTGGCACCTTGGATGAGCCGACTGACAAGCAAGACATCTGTTTGGATGCTGGAAACTTTATTGTGGGAGGAAATGCGACTACAATCAGAGCGTTTAGCATTCCTTAGTGCTTGTGTGAAAGCTCAAAGACAAGAAGATGCTGATGCTTTGTTCCCTAAGAGATGGCACAAGTGGGTTTTTTAATCCCAAGAAGAGAACTGAGACACCGTTGCTGTCACAGACATCATATACGTAGATCCAACATAGACAGGCTCTGCCTATTGGAGCCATAGGCATGAATACGTAGACGTCCCATTGGGCGCTGGAAAGCGTAACAGCATTGCCGACTCGCCGCCAAATTGGGTGGTTCTCCTCGCTCTCCAAAGTCAACGCAGTGAACAACTATGTCCGCTTTTGTGCATCCTATGGTTGCAACAATGGTAGACTGCACCGTAGTGGCTGGCTCCCATCTTTGATGGGTCTCAATCCGCCCCCAGTGTGTTTGCTTCTACTGAGGAATGTGTTCAACAAACAAAACAAATAAAACACGGTGAGGAGAGCGCGGGCAGCAGAGTGCGACACCGTCCTCTGCTGCCGGCGGCAAAATGGAGAAGGAAGTTACACCGACATCAGCGGCAAATTCTGGAGAGTTAGGAACTGATCTAATATGGTGGTGATGTCACGAACAGAACTCAGAAGACCCGTAATGATGCCAAACACAGTATAGTTCCTTAAAAGTCTTTATTTGGATGAGGAGTTACCCGAGGAGGGCGAGGCAGGAGACAGAGTCGGAGGGCAGGCGTGAGTCAAAACCAGATCGGCACAAGCAGGTACAGAGAGCAGGCTGGAGACGTGGTAGAAGACAGGCGAGGGTCGTGATGGCGGGCAGAGTTCAAGGCAGGGGTCAGGAGAAAAACGAGGTCCGGAGGCTGAGATCAGGTAGAGTGAATGGCTGGAAGATTTACTGGCAAGAAGCTTTCAATAATCTGGCAGTGAACTGGTGGCTGGCTGGTGAATATATAGCAGGGGAAGCAGGTGTGAGTGATGAGCTGAGGAGACAGGAGCAGGTGAAGTGGATGAAGCTGATGACAGGAACAGGTGAGATGAATGGAGTTGATGAGGTGCTGACTGAGGTTGCTAGGGAAAACAGGGCTTGGCCGTAGCTTGATGAGGGGACCAGGTGTGCTGAATGAAGGCTGAAAGATGGGAGTCATGACAGGTGATGCTGTAAACCCACTTGAATCAGCGTTTTGATCCTGTGCCATCTCTTAGGGAACAAAGCATGAGCGTCATCTTGTCTTTGTGCTTTCACACAAGCACTGAGGAATGTCCAAATGGGCATCTATGTATTCCTGTCAAAGGTTGCTGTACTCGGTTTGTTTCAGTAACTTGTACAAGTCATATTGCCTTTTTGATGTGTGTGGGCTACTGTAGTTGCAATACCTACTCTGAACTGTGTGGCGCTAAAGAATCCACTTTTTTTACACACTGGGCCTTTAAAATGAAAAGTATCAGTAAGAACAGATAAAGGTACCAAACTACAACAAGTTGTGTTGCATTGCGGGTTTCTACTGCCTCTATCGATACTCCAAATATGAAAAATAGCTGTGTGATGTCACAAACAGGGACATTAGAATGGAATTACCTCATGTGCGAAGAGCTGCTGCCGAGGATAAGCAGCTCTACTCTGAGCCCTTCTGACTATTGGAGCTTCTCAGCTTATAGTAGCCTGGGGTTAATGGGTGGGCGTGGCCAGCTCTAGCTTGTTTTCTCAATGTGACACAGCTCTGAAACAGCTTATTCTGGAAAGCACTGAAACTGTCAAGAACAAAACAGATGAAATGATTTCGTGTGAGAGGTATTTTTGGCAAAGAACTTCCTAAGCATGTTTGGTATCGGCCGTAGAACTATTATAGCTTCTAGCTTCTTTCACCTCAGGCAGCTGGCAAAAATAAAGCCAATTCTTTCACGGCAGCACTTTGAGACAGTGATCCACGCCTTTGTAACCACTCGGCTGGATTACTGTAACGCACTCTACATTGGGGTCAGTGCATCATGTATTAGTCACCTACAGAGGGTGCAAAATGCCGCAGCTCGTCTTTTAACTGGCACTCGAAAGTTTGAGCACATTTCCCCTGTTTTAGCTTCACTTCACTGGCTGCCCATTTCTTTTAGGATTCATTTTAAAATCCTTTTGTTTGCTTTTAAAGGTCTTCATGGCCTCGCCCCCTCTTATCTCTCTGACCTGATACAGCCTTACACTCCCTCCCGCTCTCTCAGGTCTGCTGATCAGCTGCTCCTGATTGTACCCAGGACTGAGCGTAAACTTAGAGGAGATCGCGCTTTTGCTGTAGCAGCTCCTAAACTGTGGAACGAACTTCCTTTAGAGATAAGACAGGCCAGTTCCTCACCTGTTTTAAAGGCACTCCTGAAAACCCACCTCTTTATCCTGGCTTTTGATACCTTGTGAGATGTTGGTTTCTATTTTTATTTTTATTTTATTTTAGCTGTTTTAGGTGATTCAGTGCGGTTTTATCAAGTTTTTATTTTTATATAGGGCTATTTTAATTTTATGTATCATGTGTTTTATTTATTTATCTATCTTTGCTGTTTTCTGTTTAGTCAATTGTTTTAATGTATTTTCTGTACAGCACATTGTTCCTGTGCTGGGTCTTTTAAAGTGCTTTATAAATAAAACTGGATTGGATTGGATAACTTAAGAAAAACGGTCCGAACATGACCCCTTTAACACAGCCGCATTGATCAGCATCACTAATCCACAGTGCAACTGTCACAATTAGGAAACAAATCTGATATTTTCAAATATTGACATGTCAGCTGAAACTGAAGATAAAAACAAACCCAACCTTAAAACTAAAATTAAAAATGTCGTTTTAAAATAAACACAATGTATTTGAAACAAGCTCTTTACTCGTGCTGCTGCAGGAGGATGAGATGACGTCTCGCAGCTTGTTCTTTGGACTAAATCAGCATCAGCAGCAGTTTCATGCTCTTGTTTTTTTTTATTATCTGACTAAAGGACACCTCTCTTTAACCTTAGGCAGGATATCAAAGCAGAAATAAACACTTTGTTGGACGTTTTCATGAAAGCTGTGCTTTGTCGCATGTGCTGAATACACAGGTAAAAAATTCAAACACACAACTCTTTTAGTTTAAGTGAGACCTTGTGCATCACAATGAGCCCACACCCTGCCCTGCATCAAACCGTCATCTAACTTTTGTGCTCGTCTGAATTTGAGCCACAGCGGTAGCCGATGAAAGCTTAATTCCCAGGCTGCACCCCCCTCCTAATCTGAAGCCCACCATTTGTGTGACCTGACAGACGGGGGATCAGGCTGAAGAGAGACGAGTGGGAACCCACCGAGTCCGCTCAGGTTTCTTGGTGCTGTGAAAAGATTTGTCCCGTCCATTCAGATCCGATGGAGTTTCCCATGTGCTGCGCTGCAGCGGGGGGTTTTGTTGGACTATCTGTTTCATCTGCGTGCACACAGGAGGTTCACGCAAGGCGCGACCATGCGTTTGGTTTAGATGCCACCGGAACTGCACGCCGCAGACGCAAACTGAGGGGCGAGGAGGTTCCGGCCAATTACCTCAGAAAGAGGCAGGAGACAGGTAAACAGCTGAGGGGGGGTAAAGGAGGGACTGGGATGAAATGAGCTGGAAAGAGGGGTGACCTTAGTTTAAAAGGGGTTGGATAACGGGGTCAACCTGAGTGGTAAAAGGGGGAGAAGGATTTCAGAGGACCTGGAGAGAGGGACAGACTTTGATCGAGGTCAGAGGAGCAGCAGATAAAGACGGAGGGCAGCTTTGTTTTTGAACCTCTCATTTTAACCTAAGTGCTGTTTTTCTGACATGTAAGTGAGGAATGTGGTTGATTCAACGTTGACCCTGGGACCAACCCTCTCTCGGGTAGCTGAGATGGCTCGAATGTGCTTCATCTTCCTGCTGATCAGCAACTCTGCCGCTGTTTCCACACAGTTTAATGGATACAACTGTGATGCCAGCTACCACAGCAGGTTTCCTGGTGAGAAAAGTGAACTTTAACCCTTCTGCCATGCTGCCCACAAGGACCAAACATGATCTAAACACTAAACCCTAACAAGAAGTATTCTTGCATCTACGCTTACATTTTATGGTGAAATTTTCCCGGAAAATTCTGTAAAATGTTGATTTCTTCAACTACTCTCTCCTGTCTTTCCTCTATGCCGACATGTTTTATCCTTAAACTAAAAAAGGGAAAATGTACATTTATAGGGCAGCTTTAATCCTTGGAGTAAAGGGAATTTTTGTTGTTAAATTAAAAATAATAAATGGTGAAAATTTCTCCCGATTTCTCTGGAATTAGTTCAGTAGTTGGCTCTCTCTCAACTTTTGTCTAAATCTAAATTTTTGCTAATGTATTTTTTTAAGCAAAATTATTTTACAGACTCAACTTTATTTGGATGTTTCTGGTTAATTTAATTTTTTTTAAATCTTTTTTTATGGAACATAGAAAATCTCCTTTAACCAGTCTGGAAACCACTTTCCTCCCGCTGGCTGAGAACGTCCAGCTTTTATTTGACAAATAAATAAATGAACACAAAGGGTTGCACACGTTTTTCAAACCTACACTGTAAGAAATTAATTAACGGTTGGATTTATTTGACCAACTTATATCAACTGGTTTCACCAAAATGTAAAGAGCAACGTACATTTAGTTCCGACACAAAAAACATAATGTGTATGACGCTTTACACTTAAGCAATTAAAGTGGAACCAGTTGACACAACTTAGTTAAGTAAATTCAACATTTCATTTCTTACAGTGTACAGTGCAGAAACATAAAATTGTTGCCCCAGAATAACATTTTGCATGAATATCCTGCAGAATAAAGTTGATACCTCCTCCGATTTTAAGCAACCTCTTATGCAAAGTGGGCCTTCCTGTTTTCCGCCTTTTTTCCCAGCGGAGCGGGACATCAGCATTTACTGTGGGGTCCAAACCATCACGCTGAAGATCAATTTCTGCCCGGTGCTCTACTCTGGTTACACTGCCTCAGATCTGGCCTTAAACAGCCAACATGGCGACGCTCAGTGCCGTGGCTTCATCAACAACAACACCTTCCCCACAGCGGTCCTGTTCAGCATCAGCCTCAGCAGCCTAGAGGCCTGTGGCAACAGCCTGGTGGTAAACAATCCCCACACACAACATTTCACCTACTCTTTTTTTATTTATTTATCGAGTCTAGAAGAAGCAAAACGTGTGTTTCTGTGTGCAGGTCAGCACGGCCCATGGCGTCAACGCCTACGGCAACATGTCTCTGGTACAAATTGGGAATATTTCAGGCTACATCGACACTCCCGACCCGCCAACGATAATCAGCTACCTGCCTGGCTTGTTGTATAAATTTAGCTGCAGCTACCCGTTGGAGTATCTGGTCAATAACTCGCAGCTGGCATCGTAAGGAGATGAATTCATATTGGGAGTTGAATCACATTTTTAATGAAATGTTTTCATTGAAGGATGTGCAGGTTTAATTCACACATGAAATAATCTAAAAAGCTCACGATCAGACATCAGAATCACTGGTTTAAAGCTGATTTGACATCTCCTTACAGCTCATCCGCTGCTGTTTCTGTCAAGGACGACAACGGCACGTTCGTCAGCACTCTGAGCATGATTCTGTACAACGTGAGCGCACAGTCGATTCACGTAGATTCACACCAAAGCTGACTCCATTTCCTTGCCTCAGTGGCTCTGGACGATGTTTTACAGCATTTTACAGAACACCACAGTTTACAGCTCTACTAAATCAAAAATGTTCTTATGTTTGGTTTCTTCCTGCAGGATTCTACATACAGCCAACCCCTGTCGATCCCCATGGCCGGACTCGCTCTGAAAACCAGAGTGTTTGCTGCTGTGAAAGCGACAAACTTAGACAAACGGTACTGAACCCGTTCAGTAATTCACTTTTAAACTTTTCTCTAGTCTCTATATCTGTTATAAAACTTTAACCTTTTAATTTCCACATTAAGCTAAAAACAATGCACTGTTTGTCCTTTTAGGCCTAACAGGTTGTTATAACAATGTAAATAAGTTAAAGCATCAACTAAAGTGTGGTCATGCAGCCGTCGCATCAGTGAGGCATAGTAAATGGTAAATGGCCTGTATTTGATTTAGCGCCTTCTAGAGTCCTGGAACCCCCCAAGGCGCTTTACAACACAATCAGTCATTCACCCATTCACACACACATTCACACACTGGTGGGGATGAGCTACGATGTAGCCACAGCTGTCCTGGGGCGCACGGACAGAGGCGAGGCTGCCGAGCACTGGCGCCACCGGTCCCTCCGACCACCACCAGCAGGCAACGTGGGTTAAGTGTCTTGCCCAAGGACACAACGACAGCGACAGACTGAGCGGGGCTCGAACCTGCAACCTTCCGATTACAGGGCGAGCACTTAACTCCTGGGCCACTGTCGCCCCACATCTGTGCCACTGTTGCCCCACACCTGTGCCACTGTTGCCCCACTCCGGTGCCACTGTCGCCCCACACCTGTGCCACTGTCGCCCCACACCTGTGCCACTGTCGCCCCACACCTGTGCCACTGTCGCCCCACACCTGTGCCACTGTTGCCCCACTCCTGTGCCACTGTCGCCCCACACCTGTGCCACTGTCGCCCCACACCTGTGCCACTGTTGCCCCAGTGGATAGTGAATATTTCTGATAAGCTCCCTCTCACCATTATTTTTATAGATGTATTTCCTTTTCTTAGCTGACTTTCATTATGCCATTATGCTATTACTGGACTTGAAGGCGCCAGTCTGCAGCAAAGAAAGCCCAACCTGCACGTTCCCATGTGCAGTTAGATCTCTATCCCATCTCATTTTTGTCCCTTTTTTTTTGCAGATGGAACATCTTGATGGACTACTGTTACACAACGCCCTCAGGGAATCCTAATGATGAACTCCGCTATGACCTTTTCTTTGGGTAGTCTTGGGTTTTTTCCTGTTCAAGATGACTTGATAAACCACAAAAGAGAGTCATTACCTTTTCATGCTCTCAGCATGACTTATCCTGCAGGAATCCCACTGGTTTTCCATCCTTCCACAAAGCTAGACTTCCAGTCTGTTGTGTTCTGTGTTTAAAAGTGTGTGTGTGTGTGTGTGTGTGTGTGTGTGTGTGTGTGTGTGTGTGTGTGTGTGTGTGTGTGTGTGTGTGTGTGTGGTGCCGATTTGACCACAGCTGCTACAAAGACCCACAGACGACCGTGTTTGAGAACGGGAAGAGTCAGTTGGGGCGATTTTCCTTCGAGGTGTTCCGGTTTGTGAAACACAAACACCAGAAGATGTCTACAGTGTTCCTGCACTGTGTGACTAAGCTCTGCCGGGCAGACGACTGCATCATGCTCATTCCAGTATGGATTACCCTATCTGATCCGTGTATGTGTGTGTTTCATGTCTCCTCCTCCGGATGAGGACTGAAGTACGATCATGTGATTGGCAGATTTGTGCACGAAGGCGCAGAAGGGATGGAGAGCCCAACCCTGACTCGTTGCCAGCAGCATCCGGGAACGCCGTCATCACTGCCGGTCCGATCATCACCAGAAGTGGTACAAACAATAATTCCTTTTTAAACACAAATAATTTAAATTATTACTCTGATTTTGTTTCCTACGTAAATTAATGGAGAAAAAAAAATGAAAAATTTATTCAAACTTGCTGTGAAAATGAGCCCCAGTAAGATAAAAAAAAATGTCTTTCAGATGAAACGTCTGTCAACAACTCCCAGCTCGGTAGGTTTCATGGTTTATTTTTAAAAAGTTTTTAAATGTTAGCAAAAATATGAATTTTATTAATTAACATGTTGTAGACGGCCTCTTGAACATACCTGTTTGAAAAAATAGATTGAGGCCTAGTCCACACGTAGCCGGGTTTTTAAGAAAACGAATATCCGCCCCCCCAAAAACTTGCATCCACACCACCTCGTTTAAAAAAAAATCTGTCCACACGTACCCGGATAAATACGTTGTTAAGGACATGCCAGACCTGTAGGCGGCAGTACTTCCCCCGTTCTTAACCTCGTCCTTCGTCTGTGGTCTTCCACAAGGAGCAGTAATTCCGCTTGCAAAAGCAAACAAGCAGAAAGCGCTTGGACAATTGATAAAACGAGCGCAGCTCTGAGGGCATCCATGCTGTCGGCTAGTGTAAACACAGGTCGCACAAGTGATGTCAGCATTTTTCTGTCGCAGAAAGTGACGTTGCGGACCTTAAAACTCCGGTTTTGTCTGTCCACACGCAGACACGCAAAACGGAGAAAACGCAGATCTTCACTTTGGCCGGAGTTTTTAAAAAGATCCGTTTTCGTGTGAAAAAACTCAGTTTTCGTGTGGATGACAGGCCAAAACGTAGAAAAATATCTACGTTTTGGCAGATCCCCGGCTACGTGTGGACAGGTCCTAAGTCCTACTGGACTGAACAGCTAGTTCAGGTGCAGCAACGACCACAAGGTGTTTCTGTCAGTGGTGGGAGAAACACTTGATGTTTTTTGCTTAAGAAAAAGTACAGATACGTGGGTAAAACATTACTTCATTAAAAGTAGAAGTATTTTTGGCTTAAGTAAAAGTATTGAAGTATGCATTTTCAAATATACTCAACTACAACTAACTTTTAAATATTGTGTGTGTAGAAGTGTGCTAGGTCTGAGCTAGGAGGGGTATAATGCAAAAAACAAATGAAGTTACTTTTAGAAAAATGTAGTGGAGTATAAATAAAAAGGCTTCAGGAAAATTTTTTAAGTAAAGTTATGTTCTGTGTCCCTCTGTCGCCAGCCTCCTCCTGTTCTCCTGCTTAGTTCTTTCCCCATTTAGTTTACTGAATGCACCTGCCTTCCCTCCAGATCACTCACACCTGTCACCTGTTCCTCTGATCACCTCCCTCTGTGTTTAAAAGCCCTGTCTTGTCCCTCGGTGTTTGTCGGGCCATTGTTGTGAGTCAGCGTTGGTTTGTTCCCTCTTCAGGTTCTAGTCCTTTTGCTCATTATTGAGCTTTTTTTTTTTTTTTTTTTTTTTTTTTTTTGGGCTTCCTGATTTTCAGTTTTCTGTATTTGACTCCTGCATCACAGTTATTTTTTGTTGCCACCTTAATAAAAGGATTTTACCTTTTTTCAACTGCTCTTGCCTCGAGTCATTCTGGGCTTCTGCGTTTTGGGTCCTACCTCCTCCTCCTCAGCGTGACAGAACTGTCAGAGGCTGGGGAGAGAGGGACACAGAACATGACAAAAGTACAGATACAGAAAGTTTGTATTTCAGTATAGCGACGTTCCATCATTGAATTTTTAAATTAGCTCCAATCCCTAAGATGTACAAATTTTCTTTTTATGAATCTTTATAGTCACCTTTGACTTACAGTTATTCCAGCAGGAACACTTACAACTCCTGCCGGACGTGATTCCTGTAGCTACATTAGCTTCTGGTTACAATTACGCTTTTGAGTAATCACAGGGTTCCACATAAATAACTGTAATGTGAAGTAGAAGGTGAAGTAAATGTCAACAAAAAGAAATTGTGGAAAATTAGTGAAGCTGCTTTGGTCTTGGTTGTGTTTGGGCTAGCCGTTAGCTCATTTGTTTAATAGGATGCTACTACTCTAAACAAAGGCCGTTCAGGAACCAAAACAGATAATTATAATTTTTACACATAAATGCACCTTAATTCTGGGAAACTAGTACATTGAGCAATAACTAGAAGTATGTTTTAATGAAAATAAACACAATAATTGTTTTTCCATTCGACAGCAACTGGTGGACCTTCAGGTCTCATAAACCCGTTGACCAGCACTCTGATCTCGGGTGTGGTTGTCCTGGGCGGAGTCAGTGTGGGCTTCTTCCTGTTGTCGCTCCGCCTCCTGCAAAAGTCCCACCCCCCAGCAGAAACACCCACAGGTGTTTTGAATCCCAGCTTTAAATGATTAATGTTTAATAAATTTACACCAAGCTGTTTCCTTTAACCCACTCGTTAAATGTCAGACATGACATGTTTTAGGTATTTATTGCATTTGATACCTCATTTTTTGCTTTATCTGTGGGTTTTTGTTTTTATGATTTGTTAGATGTGTAACAAAGGAAAATACACAATTTTAAAAACAGACTGGTCTTTTTTTAAACACAATGTTCACTTTGTTGGGAGGATTACAAAGTAGAAAAATTAGTTGAGCCAAAGTAATTCATTATTATTATTATTATTATTATTATTATTATTATTATTATTATTTTCAATATTAACAACAACAATAATAACAATAATTATTAATATAATAATTTAGAAAACACACATTTTCACAGTATTTTTTTAATATAAATTGTTGGTTAGGCTTTTTGACGAGAAAACAAAAAGATTTATATTTTATGTTCAAATTCTGTCTTTTTTGTATTTTATAGCATGTGATGTTAATTATGTACAATTTTTATATGTGGTTCTAAAATATATATGTCGCAAAATGTTTTATTCTAGGCAATGATCCAAGCATTCACATATATTTGAAATAATAGTTTTTATGAGATACAATAATAATTTGGATGCCTGTTTTGGTTTAAAAGCCATTGTTGGTCTGCCTTTATCATGATGCTGTGTTAATATGACACCAATTATATAATAAAAAGGCCAATAGGATGAAGGACAAGTGTGTAGATTTGCAATCGTCACCAGAGACTGAGGAGGCAAAGCAAAGTACAAACAAAATAAAAGGATAGGGGGGTTTGACTCTGAAAAAGAGGAAATCAAAGATTAATTTAACTAAAATACAAAGATCAAAACATTATTTAGTTTTAAAAGACATGATACATATTTTAAATAAATAATAAAACTAAATTAACTCATTCACTGCCAGCCGTTTCCTGATCAGAAAAGTGTTTGAACCGTTTTTTGAAGAGTCACGGAACATTGTGCTCTATGATGACGTCAACGTCAAAACTACCAAAAGAAAGAATGGACTCACTTTGTACACCAGGAAGAATTAGCGTGTTTCGAGGGTTAACCGTTCTTTCATAATCCGTTGTCAAATTGTAAGCTGCAGCAGCTTTTCCAGTACGTGCCTCACTTTTTTCTCACAGCAGCATCCCAAAATGATCTTCTACTTCATGGATTTTCTACTTCCTGATCATGTGACGTGTGACATACACGGATGAAGATCCGCTTTAGAGACGTAATGTTAATTCTCACAGTACGGGGGACTTTAGTCATCAATGGCAGCGAGCGATTGGATTTAAAATGACGACTTAAGTCGTCAATGGCAGTAAATGATTTAAAGACACAATGTGTAGTTTTCACTGTTAATCTCTGGAGATATCCATCGAAACGTCGTTGAAAAGGAATTAAATGATGCCCAGTTGTTGAAAATATTGGCTACTTCATAACATATAACCATAAAGATTGGGTCTAAATCACATGGGAGCAGGTCTAAGTCTCTGGGAAACGCCATATTAGACACCATGTTTCCTTCTACGGGAGCCCGTGAGGACAAAACTTATTTATTGTTTTGTAACACACGGTTACAAAACTTTTTCGATTCCTATTCCATTCTTGGTTCCTTTTAAAACACAGGAAAGGTTTCTCTTGACCTTGCTAACGTTTCGTTTGCCGACTGCAAAACATCCTCAGAGCTGATGCTGATGGTGGCGTCACTTCCTACTCCGTTTATCCGCGGGCAGCAGAGGATGTTGTCGCCCTCTGCTGCCCGCTCTCCTCTCTCTGATGATACGGTCCCATGCACGATCCAATGTGTAGACCCCATCGTCTCTGTTCATGGTCCCACATCCACATCTCCTTATCTCAATAGCTTCTTTTATCCATCTTTTGTATTTCTGTTGTTCGGTGTTTATGATCCTTGTGTTGTCCCAGTCCATTACATGCTCTTCTCTTATGCAGTGATCTGTTACGGCTGACTTCTTTATTGTGCTTTCTGGTTCTTCTTTTGCTGCTCTTGTGTGTTTTCGACTTGCCTCTTTCTCGCACTCCTTTCTATGTTCTATTGCTCGTGTGTTGAGTTGGCGTCCGGTTTCTCTTATGTATGTTTTATTGCAGAGTTTGCATGGGATTTCGTAAACGACTCCACATTTATGTCCAGCTGGTTTCTTGTCTTTTGGGTGTACCAGTCTGTTTCTAACTGTTGTGTATGGTTTTGTTGGTGTGTTTATGTTGTGTTTTTCATTGTTGCTCTTATTTTTTCTGTTATGCCTTTGATGTATGGTAGGGTTATCACTGGTTTTTGTTCTTGTCTTTCTGGGTTTCTGGTTCTTTGATTTGGTTGTTCTTTTCTTTCTGTTGTTGTTTGTTGTTTTCCTTTGTTTATCGCCCATGTTGGGTATCCACAGGTCTTTAAAGCGTGTTGTATGTGTTTGTCCTCTTGTTTGCGGTCTCTTTCTTCTATTACCATGTTTGCTCGGTTAAATAATGTTCTGATTACTGACATTTTGTGTATGGTGGGGTGTTCTGATGTCCATAATAAATACTGATCTGTGTGTTGGTTTCCTATATGCATATGTATTATAAAGATGGATAAAAGAAGCTATAGAGATAAGGAGATGTGGATGAGGGACTATGAACAGAGACGATGGGGTCTACACATTGGATCGTGCATGGGACTGCATCATCGGAGAGAGGAGAGCGGGCAGCAGAGGGCGACAATGTCCTCTGCTGCCCGCGGATAAACGGAGTAGGAAGTGACGCCGCCATCAGCGTCAGCTCTGAGGATGTTTTGCAGTCAGCAAACGAAACTGTCAGCAAGGTATAGAGAAACCTTTCCGGTGTTTTAAAAAAAGAACCAAGAATGGAATTGGAAACTGGACACAGTAAGAACACACCAAAGTCGTTTTTCGATTCCTATTTGGATTGAGATTGTTTTTATTTTGCATTGGTTTTTGGGTTAGGGTAAAGTATAGCATTTGGGAATGGAAAAAATCCATGAAAACTTTGGCACATGGATCAAAATAAGTCAGCAAATTTGGTTAAACCATTTTAGAAACCAGACCAAACTAAGATTGACTGAATTATTTCCCTTTTTATCTTGTCGTGTTGAGGTTTTGTGCGGTTGGGTTGTTTCATATAAAAATGTGAGCTTCTACGTGCTAAACTTGCTTCAGCAAATGTACAGAACAAGCTAGGTTTGGAAGCAAATACGGATTACTCACCCTTCCCCTTGGGCATCTTCCCTGAGAGGCTTCTGCCTGAACCAGAGACACGGGATGCCAGAGGGCACAAGATAGTGCTAAAGACCAGTAGGAGACGGGTGCCTGAGCCGCGTAGGTGATTTCACGCTCCACTCTTTTGTCGTGGTCTGAGATCATCAGGAGATACAAGCTAACCAGAAGCTTGAACTTGGAGCCAACAGGGGATACCAACAGGGTTCCTGACCAAACACAGAGCTAACCCAAAGCTAACAGGGGTTTTCAGGCGAGGGGGCACAGGAGTTAAGTGCTCGCCCCGTAATCGGAAGGTTGCAGGTTCGAGCCCCGCTCAGTCTGTCGCTGTCGTTGTGTCCTTGGGCAAGACACTTAACCCACGTTGCCTGCTGGTGGTGGTTGGAGGGACCGGTGGCGCCAGTGCTCGGCAGCCTCGCCTCTGTCAGTGCGCCCCAGGGCAGCTGTGGCTACATTGTAGCTCATCCCCACCAGTGTGTGAATGTGTGTGTGAATGGGTGAATGACTGATTGTGTTGTAAAGCGCCTTGGGGGGTTTCAAGAACTCTAGAAGGCGCTATATCAAATGCAGGCCATTTACAATTTACCATTTAGCCAGAAAATGTGGTTGAGCATAGCGGGTGTGTTAAAGCAATTTTTGTCACTTCCGTGTTGGCTTCACATAAGTCAGGCCATTATTGCCCCTTGATCCAAAAATCTCTTGTTGTCCGCGACTTCATCAGGTGTTTTCCTTTTTGGGACTCTGGTAGTTTGACCTAAAGTAGAAGTGGTAGTAGCTGGCTTTTTCTCCTTCTCTGATATTATTGAGCGGAGAGCCTCTCACACCAGTGGTGTTCTGTTGCTAAATGCGCGAGTGCCTAATGAATTGAAGGATCGGTGACCGAATGGTCCAGTTGTGGCTTTGGGTTCAGAGGTGTTAAGACAAATGTGAGAAAACAACATCATTCACTTTTTTTTCTTTATCACCACAATATATTTATAGCTATACTATGTTAGAATGTTGTCAAGAGACATGAAAAAACCCATAATTTATTTTCCAAATTTACCATTGCAGCTTTAAGTATGTTTTTGTGCCGTTACTTTAGTTATGTGTTCCTTTTTTATTTGTTCATCCTCTTTTCTTCTATCTGTTCTAGATTATTATCACACCTTCTTTGCAGCTTCCTCATAGTCTCCACTTTTAAGCTTGTTATCATCAGGTTCTTGTATTGTCATGTTTTTTTAGCAGAGACCTTGATTTTTGATGTAATCAAATAAAGTAAGACTGTTTAAAAAAATTTAAAAAAATTTCCCTTGGCATTTAAACATTAAACATCACTTCATTAAATAATCCCTTGTTAAATAACTTCATTTGACCACATTTAGGACCAACTTTAGCAATTTCTTTCTCATGCATTTGACAACATTTACTTTCAAAATTTCTTCTTTAATATCAGCACAGTCCTGGTAAATTTTTTTTGATTGTCATGGCTCTGCAAGAGTCCAGCCTGAAGGGAAAAAGGAACAAAACGTCAGGTGATATCAGAGCTCGTTTGAGAAGTGGCTGAAATAATCTCGTCATGTTTTTTCAAATAAAAACCGTATTGATTTCCATCTCTGATGGCCTATCTAAATGTCTGTTGGTGGCTGCTGCATCTCACGTGTCATTTTCTGAGGCATGTTTTTGTGTCTGCTAAATTCACTGCTTCTCATTTCTCTAATCCCTCATTTCAGCAGCTATTCTGTGATGTATTCTGCATCTACAATGTCCACAGATAACTAAAAAGGGACGAATGAGTTCTATCATCCCCCCTCTCAGTTTACTATCAGCGATAATTGATTAAACCCTCCTCCTGAAAATAGAAACAAGAATGAGGTTTGGCTTTGAACGTGTTGAACTCATGTTGAGGTGAACTTTGAAGAAAATAAATGTTTTATTTTTATTTAGAGGATATAAATGAGGATGCATATGA